TCTCTCTCTCTCTCTCTCTCTCTCTACTCTCTCTCTCTCTCTCTCTCTCTCTCTCTCTCTCTCTCTCTCTCTCCTCTCTCTCTCTCTCTCTCTCTCTCTCTCTCTCTCTCTCTCTCTCTCTCTCTCTCTCTCTCAACTTTGCTCGAAAGCGGACTGCTTTTTAATGCAACACACGCCATTTTTGCATTTTTGCACGTCGACAATGTTTGCGAGAGCTTCAAGCGCATTTCTTGCGATACGACAACGGTATTCCGTTTGCGATTAAAAGATAGAAAGAAACTAGTGACAAAGCATTATTTACACAATTTTATTATATTATTTACACAATTCATTCAATTTTTATTTAATGACCCAAAAAGCTGAATCCACTTTTAAATACAATTTTTAAAGTACTTGAGAATCTAGTAACTTGATTTTATCTATTTCTATGCCTGACTCGATGTCAGACTACATAAAAGAATAATGTTAAACATTTATATTTTTTCGTCTATAAAAATCCGTTCGTTCCTTAAAATTTACAAGATATATCGATAGCTTCGAAGTCACGTCTTTCTTATATTCTTCTTAAATTCTTGATTCCATTTAAAGAAGTTTCTTTCATATAATATGTATTTTATCAGACATTTTAATTTATATTTTCGTCTATAAAAGTCCGTTCGTTTCTTAAAATTTACAACATATATCGACAGTATGTATTTTATCAAAGACATTTTAATTAACTTTTAAACATTTTTAAATAAAAATTTTCTAAGCAGGAAAACGAGAACGATCTTTAACGATCTTTATATAAATATTCTTTAGCTGATAATGTGACATTAAAGTCGAGGGGAATCTGGTGCGATGATAAGATTTAGCGGTGTCGAGAATAATTTACTGTTCGCGTTGCGATCGCGTCCGTAACGCGATTTCCATTCGGATGCGACGAAGGAAAAAGATGCAACCGAGGACGGGTGGAGGGATAACGAGGATTGGAGAAACGAGGTCGTCGACCGTCTCCTCTCGAGCTGTCCTCGTTTTCTTTTTCTCGTTACGATCACATTGGAGGTAGTGAGGTGGAGAACTCAACTCTATACCTTTCGATTTCGTCATTGAATTAATCACTCCCACGAGGACAATTATTCCGGGAAAGCTCAAATAAATCGACTGCGGAAGTTTAAAAATGCTCTCCGATGCGACGATTTAACACGCGAATTGTTTCAAGTTAATATTTTTTATATTTATTATATGTAGTAACGAGGATAAAAAACCAGAAATGGGAACGTGTATTATTTATCGTCTTGGACAAGATTCGCACAATGAACAATTCATGCGATTAAATGTACAAGAGCGTTAACACGAAATACGAGTTGTATATTTTTTCGATAATAATAATTTGATTATACGCACTCGTAATTATATCATATGCACGAGTAATTTAAACAAAAATAATAACTAAATAACTAAATATTAATGAAATTATTAATTAATAAATTTTAATTTTTAATATTATGTTTATCAGAATTTAAGTATGTTTTTAAATTTTTCTGCTCTCTTTCTCTTCTATGTTCTCCTCTCTCTCTCTCTCTCTCTCTCTCTCTCTCTCTCTCTCTCTCTCTCTCTCTCTCTCTCTTTCTCTCTCTCTCTCTATCTATCTATCTTTTTTTTAAATGATATAATCAATATCTTAAATAAATGCTTTTATTTTTAATTTAATGTTCTAAGATTGGTGATTATATTTATACAAGAATTTATTTGGAACGTTGTAAGTGATGTAATAAAATACTTTTTAATCTGAAAATATTCTAGAAAACAATAAGTATTGATCTAGTTTTGTTCAATAAAACAATATATATTGTTATATTTTAAAATATTCACTTTTTTTTTCTTGTGTTTGCTAATGAAAATTGACTTAAACTTTTGAGACAAAATAAGCACGGTGAATTAAAAAGAATATTTAAATTGAATTTGCAGATTTGAACTTGGAATAGCTTTTAGATCTAAGAATAAAACAAACAAGTTAATTAAATATCTTTATCCACGTCTCTAGTTTAACAGTACGCAATTTAATTAACTTAAATCTGTATTAGCAATATCTGGAGGCCTTATTTATCTCCGATAATAAGATATAAAATCGTTACTAATAAATCGCTACTATTTATAGCTAATTATGTTCATTCTTAGTAAAAAGTTGTAAATTTTACTTCAAATCTTCAAAGATTCAAAGAAATCTTCAAAGAAAAACATATTGTGATACATATTGCTCTTGACACAGAATTTAAACAAAGGTATTCATTAAATTAAACTATTTTGATAATTTCTAATAATAATAATATTATTAATAATATTGCATAAAAATAAATTAACATCATAATTAACATCAAGGTAAATGGTAATCCGTGCGATCAAAATTTTGACTAATTTCACTTACTAACGATAGGAACTATATATGCCAAATTGTAGCGAGCTGTGATAGCACGACTATTCGATTTATGCGAGGATATCCACGTGCAAGAGATCTTCATTTTCTGCATAACATGATTCATCCTAACGCAAAATTATGTTTAGTATACTACACACATATCGCGCGTATCCTCTTTCACCAGTTAATATTGTACACACCTGTAATTGGCAATGTGTAATTAATATATTATTGTGAAATGGATCCTTTATTATGTTAATTCACAATTACAAAAATAATTTCTAAAACTTTTTTTTTAAATTTGGAAAAAAATATATGTGTTTATCATCTTAAATTTAAAATAACAATAATTTAATATTAAAACTGGATAATTTTCGAGGTAGTACTATTAAATACAGTTTGATGCGTATTAGGAATAAAGCATGATCAGATTTCCGATGCCATAATTATGATGTTATTACCATACTCACAGCGGATGCATATAAATTAATAGTTTGCATACAAACGAAACCATATCATGTCCTTCATATCGTTACTGTTTGAACGAAATGACATAGTATCTTATAAATAACTTTTGCGAAAGCTTAATGAAAAGATTTCAGAAAATAAAGATTAATAGATTATAGTTTATAAAACGTTATATGATCAGGAATATCTACGCATTTTTTTTAAATCTTTTTACTAAA